TCTCAAGTTCGACTTTCATAAATAACAAGTTTGATATGTAATTATGATTGATACATATTGTTTCGTCCAATTTTTTCACCCGAACATCTTTATATGTAAAAAAAAAAATGTATAATTGGGCGTTGCTTCTGCAATGAATATTTTTTTTCAATTTTCTAAGAAAAAACTGTTACAACTTTTTGTGATAATTATGTTACGTATAGTGATTAGTTACATTAAACATTTTAATCGTAGATTAAAAAAGAGTTTGCACAATAGAAATGTTGCTATTTTATAACCGAAAACCAAATACCTGAAAATCATAAATCATATCAGCTAAAAGGGTTAGTTCATTCAATCTCTTTCCTTACTTCTTCTATTTCTAAGTTCTCTAATTTTTTATCGCTCTCATTCCTGTTAAGTAAAATGTAAGAAATCGAAATCACAACAACCAGGATGCCCAACAAATTTCCTTATCGTGTTTTGTTTTTGGTCATTCAAAGGCCAACCAACTCTATGTCCATATGTTGGAGTTTCACATGTTCCATCTAGACACGATGAAAAGGTGATCAGCAACGTATAGTAAATTGTTCCGGACTTCCATGCAATCCAGACACGACTAGAATTGTCTGTAATTAATGCAGTTTGTGGCCAATTTGGAATCTCCAACCTCCGTGTTTGTGTGTGTATATATTGCTATACACCTGTAAACAACCCAAATCAAAATCCTCCTCTTTTCTCTTTCTTTTGGTGATCTTCTTGGAATCCATCTCTCAAAAGCTCAAAACTTCACATTATATATATATATTGCTATAAACCAGCCAGCCAGAGCTAGATACGGAGCATCAGAGATAACTCAGATAAGCTTGATACATTTTGGTTCGGTGGTCCTAAGCTATAAATTCTATCAGTTCCCTTGAAGAGAATGGTATTGAGGTACTGTTTCCTTCATGAAATCAATTAACAAGAAAAAAAACTATAAATTAAAATTTATTTTCTCCTCTATTTCTTCACCTTTATAGGTTTTTTTTTTTTTTTTTTTTTTAAGTTTTGGTAAATAAATATATATTGTTTAAGGTGGAAGAGAAGAACATGTGGAATAGAAGAGTTAGGGTGCCACCGAAATGTTGGAGATTTCACAATCATTTTGTGGTTTAGAATTTATAGTTGTGAAAATTCTCTATTTGTTAATACTAAACAGAAGCTGAGTCGTAATGAACCTGTACTTGTTCGTGAACTTAATTAATCAAAATTTTAAGCTTAATAAATCTCCTAATTTTTTGGTCTAAAATCTAAGATCCGAAACTTCAAACTAGTCAGAGATAAGAGATGAAAACATCTGTGTATTTCTAGGGAAATTCGTAACTGAAGCCTGAATATGTGGCACTTGTCATCACCAAGCCTTCGAATATATAAGTCATTTGTTACACTCACACATATCACATGCAAAAGCTTCGAGTCTTTTGATTCTCTTTGATCAAGAACTTTCTCTTTGTTTCTCTTGCGATCGATATATTTTCTGTTATACAGTCTCTCTATATAAGCTGCATTAGGGTTTCAGTCTGATTATGAGTTTTCGAGGTTTTTCGAGTAGTTTGGATTGAGATTTTGGGTTGAAAGAAGGGACTAATTGGCCAAAGGGCCATTGCTTGGGGTGAAATATTCTTGTTCAATTTTCCACCATAAATGACAAAAGGGTTTTCCGTGTTTTCTAGTTTTCCGGCAACTTTTGTGAATTGGCCTACTACATTGCTGTTTGTGATTACCGATCCACGCTCTTCCTCATCACCGGAGTCCGGCTCAACAATTTCAAGAGCAGTGATCAAGTTTCGTAAAAGGTTGGAATATCCAACATATTTCAGCTATCTTCATCATATATTGTGTAATAATGTAGCTTTACAGTTAATTTGTTATCAGTAGCACATAATTAACTTAGTGTCCCCTACAAAATTGGCAGATGATAAGCGAAGCCCCTAACCGAGACATTGAAGGAGCAGAAGTTGTGGATACAAACATCCATGAGATAACTCAGGAGTCCAAACCCACTGTCAAAAAGAGAGTAGGAGGATGGAAACTTGCACTTATCTTGCTAGGTACTCATCATCGATGATATTCACTTTTCCTAGCATATATAGATTTTGCAATTCAAGATTATTTTCCATATCTCTCCAAATAGTATTAGGGAGAACGATACACATTTTCTTCGGTTATATTCATGTTATGTCTTATTCGGTGCAGCGAACCAAGGCCTAGCAACACTAGCTTTCTTTGGTGTAGGAGTGAACTTGGTTTTGTTTCTGATCAGAGTTCTTGATCAAGAAAGTGCCACTGCGGCAAACAATGTCAGCATATGGACTGGAACTGTTTATTTGTTCTCTCTAGTTGGAGCATTCCTCAGTGACTCCTATTGGGGTCGTTACTTAACCTGCGCCATCTTTCAAGTCATCCTTGTTCTGGTATAATATATACTTTTCTTTTTGAGATGTCCCAAGTGAATTTTTTGAATTGTTCTTCAAACATACATGTATAACAAAACTTAATGTTCGTTAATCAGGGCTTGGGGCTATTGTCCTTGACGTCTTGGCTCTGGCTGATCCATCCGCACGGTTGCGGTGGTGTAGGAAATTACTGCCAGCCAACATCCAAAGTTGGTGTGGCTTTCTTTTACCTATCAATATATCTAATCGCACTTGGATACGGTGGCCACCAACCAACTATTGCAACATTTGGAGCAGACCAATTCGACGAGAGTGATCCCAAACAACAATTTTCGAAAGCAGCTTTCTTTGCTTACTTCTACTTTGCACTCAACGTTGGGTGTCTTTTCTCAAACACCATATTGGTTTACTATGAGGATAAAGGTTTATGGACTCTGGGGTTTCTGGTGTCATTAGGATCTGCTATCTTAGCCCTAGTGTCATATTTGGCAGCATCACCTGGGTACCGGTACCTAAAACCATGTGGCAACCCATTGCCACGCGTGGCTCAGGTATTCGTGGCTGCCTTTAGAAAATTGAGTGTTGCTCCAACCAGCCCGGATAATCTTTATGAGCTGGAAGGAACAAAATCTGCAATCAAAGGGAGTAGAAAGATTCTACACAGTAATGAGATTTTGTAAGTAATATTGCACTTTAACTGTATGTAAGTTAATTAAGTTAACTGTGGTTAGCTGAGCTCTAAAATAATGTCATCTGCACTTTTATCCTTTTTATTTTATCATGCCAGGAGTGCAAGATGGCATTTTAAGAGTAATAGAAGCTCTCTGATTTAATAGTTTTATTAGTTTCCTAATATTTCAAGTTCTTTTTGTTAGGTTTTTGGACAAGGCAGCGACAATAACCGAGAAGGATCAAACTGCAGACGAAACAAATCCATGGAGGCTTTGTACTGTAACTCAAGTTGAGGAAGCGAAATGCGTACTAAAAATGCTACCCGTTTGGCTTTGCACCATAATTTACTCAGTGGTGTTTACACAGATGGCTTCACTTTTTGTGGAGCAAGGTGATGTGATGGAATCCCACATCGGAAAGTTTCACCTTCCGGCCGCCAGCATGTCTGTATTTGACATATGCAGTGTCTTTATCTGCACAGGACTTTATCGCAATTTCCTTGTGCCTTTAGCCGGAAGGTTAAGTGGGAACCCAAAAGGCCTATCCGAGCTTCAAAGAATGGGTGTAGGGCTTATTATTGGATTGTTGGCAATGGTTGCGGCCGGTGCCACGGAAATTGCTAGGCTCAGAGGTGTTACACCAGGTGAGAAGGTAAGCTCACTAAGCATATTTTGGCAAATCCCACAATATGTTCTTGTTGGTACTTCAGAAGTTTTTATGTATGTGGGACAACTTGAGTTCTTCAATGGACAAGCCCCGGATGGGATTAAAAGCTTTGGAAGTTCATTGTGCATGGCGTCGATATCTCTCGGAAACTATGTGAGCAGCTTACTAGTTAACATAGTAACGCATATTACAGCTAGAGGTGGAGACCCTGGTTGGATCCCAAATAATCTGAATGAAGGTCACTTGGATAGATTCTACTTCCTCATTGCAATTCTAACAGCTTTGGATTTTGTGGTTTATTTGTTTTGTGCTAAGTGGTACAAGGGAATCAACCTCCAAAGCTCTGAGCAGGAAATTGAGATCATGGAAAATCAGAAGGGCAATGATCTCCAAGGTTCTGGGCAGGAAACTCAGATCACGGAAACTCAACCCGGAAGTTCATCAAATCAGGGAAAAGCACAAGATGAGGCAGTGCTCAACAAAGTTTAAACCTTAAGTTTTATGTTCCTTATTTTATGTTCTTTTGTAGGCAGTCTTTCTCTTGTTTTGTCTTTGAATGTAAGCTTAAGTTTTAAAATAAAGATATTGCAGAGTAGAGGATGACTTCTCCTTACTTTAAACCCTAGCAATTTCAACACGAGATCGAGTAACACATTTGAACATTTAGTAGTTGATCAAGAATCGATATGATCTAGGTCAAGCTTCATAAAATGCTTTCCAATTAATGCGTTTCGAAAACAACTTGGTACAAGTGCTTGTAGTTCTATGCTTAAAAACGTTTACCATGGGCCTGAAGTTCTGTATTCGAATTCCCCTTCTCTAGTATCGCTTGTCGGATATTAGAATGGTTAGAGTCCAACTCAAACAAATGACAATGAGATTGATCCCACCAAATGTTTTTTTTTTGTGAGATTTGAAAACTTGATTGGGAGAAACATTGACATGTATATTGGATATGTTTGAAATAGAAATGGACATTATGCAGAAGCAGAAAGCAACATCATGTATATTGATGAGAGTAATATATTACCAAGAGAGAGAGGTAGGGGTCTTGGCTGGGACAATATATATATACAGGCTGTAGCAACAATGAAACTTTAATTTGACGGATCGTGATGAAACTTACATTTCAAATCGGTGAGTTGACAGCCTAAAATAATCAAAAGCATTAGGACCCAAGAAATTAAGGATAATTTGGAGGAAAGAAAAACCCTAATAAAATGATCATCTTCTTCTCCTAGACGGTTAATTAATATTCACACCAAATAGCCTAATTCCTTTTTCCTCAGCTATGGATGCCCTGTGATCTTCACTATATTTACCTTCACCTTTTTGAAACTTGGAGCTGCTACATTCCCCCAAATTTAGTTCCAATTTTACCTGCAAATCCTTACACTCACTGGCCTCCTCAACAAAACATGATCTCTTGCTTTCACCTTCACTGTGCATTACATCAATTAACCAAAATGTAGTACTTTCTCTATCTTCCTCTCTTATCACTTGACCATCACTCTCACATGCATAAAATGTGATCACATCATTTGCCTTCAAATTGTTTTCCTTCACAAACCTATTCCAACCCCTTGTGAACACAAAGCTTTGGCTACTCCTCCAATAGCAATACCTAAACTTCCAAACCCTCATGAGCTTGTCATAGAAAACTAGCTCAATGTCCTCAGTCACATTTTCTTCCGCATTCTCACAAATACAAGGGAAATACTCGACCGCGTATTTCTTCGGAATCACAAGCCTATTGAGCTTACCCACATCACTCGGAGTAAGTTCTTTTTGGAAGAGTTGTCGACACAATACTTGTCCATCGCCATGCACTCTTATTGGGTTGGTGCCCTTGCTCATTTCCTCAATTTGAGATTGTGCTTGGGACCTCATAAAGGCATCAAATTTGGATGGATAGGAACCATCCCTAATCATTTTAATTATTGCCTCTGTTGTGTAATGGTTTTGGAAATCAGGCTCTTGAATGGTGAAGTTGGTCCAAGGAAAATTTCTATGCAAATCTTTACCATTTCGAAGCTTGACTGCCGCACTATCATAAGCCATGGCAGCTTCCTTCTCAGATTTGAAGGTGCCAAGCCAAATTCTTTGGTGGTTTGCATATATTTGTGCACCCCAGTGACCATTTTGTTGTGGCACAACCCCTTTGAACTTTGCAAATGAGACATCATTGTCGTGCCTCGCGCGCTTATTCTGATGTAGCAGCGCAAAATCGGTTTCGTTTGAATCCGAAGTCTCCAAACCCACATTTCTTTGGGCACTTGAGATCATGATTGATGCATCTTCTGCCATTGTGAATGATCTCAAGGGAAAAGATAAGCACAATATTGACATGGATGTGAAGACTAATTGATCGAGTATTACAAAACTGCAAAGTGATCAATGGCATTCAAGAAAAGCATGATGAGGGAAACTTTTAACATTGCAGACATGGTTAACTTTGGGAGAGTTTTTGAGGGAGAGAATCTGAAATCAGAGATTTGCATATGCTTTCGTTGCATGAACATGGTTTGTATTTGAAAGGCTGAGGGTTCAAAATATTAAACTGAATTAGGTAAGTAACAACCAAATTAAACACATTATTCTAGAAAAGATAAACCAAATTTTCGAGTGAAAAGTCAAGGATTAATCGAAGAAAAAATGAATTGAAGCGGCTTTATCTTAATTTAGGAAAATTAATTAGGTGTCACAGCCTCAAACTAAATAACCCATTTTGTTAAGCATATAGTTAATTACAAGTTACAAGTAGATAGCTGGCTATAACATCAGAGACATGTTATAGCACTCATCTATCAGTCTTGATTAGAAGTTTCCAAATATAAATTTAATAATTGGATACAAAAATAATTTTAATTAATTAGTTGATCACAATTTATGTGCTAATCATAGAATAAAACCGATGATGTGTCAGATTCTGTTCATATGTACGGCTGGGATACATAGCAAAATAGAAGTAAAAAATCACATATGCAGATTGCAAACCAAAGATGTTTGTTCCACTCTCGTTAACAAGGGATCCCGAGTATCTGCATTTAGTTAACCGGAGTGTTCGATTTTAGTTGAGTAAATTTGCAATGTATATGAATAAGACACGTCACAGTGATAATTACCTTCATTCTCAACAAACAAATATCCTTACAATAAGGGATTATAGCTTCTAAAATTCCGCCTACTGTAACTACGCGTGATGAAATCCAACTTTGGAGATTTTCACCTCCTAGCTGCTAGCATGTCTGCTTTTGACATATGCAGCGTTCTCATTTCATTTGCACAGGAATTTATCCCCCACTTCTCGTGCCGCTAGTCGGAAAACTAAGGGGAAACCCTAAGGGTTTATCTGAGGTAAAAAGAATGGGATAGGTCTAATCATCAGAATGTTATCGATGACTGCAGCTGGTGTCACAGAGATTGCAAGGCTCAAGCATGTGCGGCTGGTGAGAAGATAAGCACTCTAAGCATATTTTGGCAAATTCTGCAGTTTCGTTGGTGCTTCAGAAGTTTTTATGTATGTTGGTCAACTGGAGTTCTTCAAGGGTCAAGCCCGAGATAGGATAAAAGCTTTGGAAGTTCACTGTGCATGGCTTCAATATCTCTTGGGAATTATGTGAGCAGCAAGCTGGTTAACATGGTGATGGGAATCACAGATTCACAGCTAAAGGCAAAAGCCCTGGTTGGATCCCGATGATCTGAATACATGTCACATGGACAGATTCTCCTTCCTAATTGCTGCCCTATCGACTTTCGGTTTCATAATTTATGTGTTTTGTGCTAAAGTGGTACAAGGGAATTGACCTTGAGGGGCCTCAGATGGAAATTCAGATCATGGAATATGTCGAGAAGATGTGGTGATATGAAAAGTTTAGACCTAAGTAGCTGAAAGATGAATTTGGCATAAGTTTTTGAATAAGCTAGCATTTATCTTGCAGAAGATGAGAGCGATGGTCTCGTTTGGTATGGATAGAATTGGAATGGACATGTTTTCATCTTGAGTAACCAATGTCTTGGTCCCTTAATTAGTTTCATTTATTCCCCTACTATACTATAAGAAAAGTAATTTACTAATTCCAATCTAATTATCTGTATCGAGTGAGCGCTACATTCTCCAACACCCAATTACTTTAAGGGGTTTTTTTTTTTTTTTTTTTTTTTTTTTTTGCAAAGACTTTAAGGGTTGGTTTAGAGTTACTTAATTTTTTTTAAAAGCAACTTTTTTTTTTAAAAGTTAAAGTTAAAATTATGTTTGGTAAATGGAAAAAAAAATCATGAGTGTAAAATAGTAGGAAGCAAAAACAACTCTACTTATACTTCTAAAAAAAGAAAACGCTTTTTTTATAGGAGGTAGGTGAACAATACCAATTAATGAACTTTCGTATTGACAATCCTACACCATCATTTTTTGCTAAAAGCACTTTTAGCACTACAGTTTACCAAACACTTACCTACTTTTTTTCACAGTTACTTATTCTCATAGCATAGCACCAATTAAAAAAAAAATACAACAATCCCTCCTAAGAATATTAATTTACCTACAGCATGTTGCATGCAAATTAAGGGTGGGAAGAGAGAGAATCTCTCATAAGTCACCTCATTTTGTATATTAATCTGGCCCAACCCAGGTTTAAATCAAACCCAAACCTATGAGCCCTTCTATAGTTTCAATGGAAAGCCCATTATAAAATTGGTAAAAGCCCAATAATTGGATGCCGTACCCCCCACCTGGGAGATTCGGATACCAATGATCAAATGATAACGTCACACGAGGCGCACGTGACTCTCCATGACGGTCTCACACATGATAGACAGACGGTCGTTGCAAAAGATCAATCGCCAAAAAAAAAAAAAAAGCACTTGCAAATTATTAACCGCATTTAAATTGCCATTTCGAGTCCGCTTTTCCCCTGTTTCGCGAACCCTAGACAGTTCAATTCAATCTCCCTCTCTTTCTCTCTCCTAGGGTTCCGTTTTCTACAACTTTCTCGCGGTTTCGGGCTCTCTGTGAGCGGTAATGGAGTTCGGAGGAGGTGGCCGGAAGAGAGGCAGGCCGGAAGCTGGGCACTTTAATGGCAATGGCGGCTTCAAGAAATCCAAGCCAGGTTCGTCTTCCCATTGCTTTCAAGCTTCAATCTTTTGTTCGTGCTTTTCCATATTTTTGTATCATGTCGATATGTATATATGTAAGTTATATGCATTGAAGTTAGGGTTTGGTGCTTTGATGTGCTTGTTCTGCTTTTGTGCATTTAGCTATTTTTTTTGTACTCGATTGCGATAGTTCAGAAGGTTGGATAAAGTGGTTAAATTAAGTTAAGAAAGCTTCCAGCTTGTTATGAATGAAGGAAAAGTATTTAAAGAACGTTGAATTTTGCTGTCAAGTTTAAAAATATCGGAATTTCAGTTCATTGGAGTTTACAGGATATTCGAAGAGCCCGGTCTCTTTGTTGCTATCTCATGTGGGCATTCATATTGGGTTACCCAACTGATGATCATAATGTTTCTTCAAAAGATTGTGCTCCTTAATGTCTTCATGAAAATTGTTTGCTTGTTGGGTGAAATGTAATTGAAAGCTGGTTATGAGTGTTTGTGGTATCTATTATCTTCGTTTTTCAAAGCAGGACTTTAGTTGTAGTATAATTTGTGCAAAAGACACCCTTAAGACAACATGTTAAAATTATGGAATTTTCTCTCAAGTTGTATGCCACTTACATTTTGCCCTCTTGGTTTTGGTTTTACTTGAGCTATCTGGTATTGTATTTTGGTGATGTTATTCAAGTCGAAGATGGAATCCACTGTTTTAAATATTATTTGCTAATGACTGACGAGGAGGAAGGAGATGAAGAATCCTATGTTCTCTTCACATTTATCTGAGAATCGAAGCATCAACTTTTTGATTCAAAGTTAATAGATTGAAAACCATAATTTTAAACTATCTTTTTGTTACCTCTTTGTTGGTTTAAAAAGTACAGGGTTTAGAGGTCTGTTTTTATTAGTCCGTATAATGGGGTTTGATCTTACACTACTTTGATTCTGCAATGAAATTGGTGTTTTATACATATTTTTTTACTGCTAAAAATGGCAACATGGTGATGAATAATACATTGTTAAAGTTTTGAAGATTAATAATCCACTGTAAGTGTAACTGAGGGAAATTAATTAATGTTCTGCAACAGAAATGGAGTCCTTTCAACCTGGTATAGGAAGCAAATCGAAGCCATGCACAAAGTTTTTCAGGTTCTAATCTTAACTTATCTAAAATGAATAGCCTAAATGTAATCATGCATATTGACAAGTTTAAGAAAAGTTTGTTCTTCAATTTTTGCGAGTAATTTGGACTAATGAAATGGGCCATCAAAGCTTTGATACAGGTTGAATCATCTGTTCTAATCATGATAACAAAGACTGAACAGATATCGTTGAATGACAACAGTTCGATTAAGTACTTACTGGATTCTATAACAAAGACCGAACAGATATCGTTGAATGACAACAGTTTGATTAAGTACTTGCTGGATTCTATCTAGTTTATCATGTTTGTATGGGATGCAGAAGTTGTCCTTCATATCATGGTTATCTATAGTTTCTTTCTTGCTTTTGAAATCAAAGTGACTGAAGCTACAGAACTGGTCGCAAAGTTTTGAAACGGTTTTTTTATGTTCAGACTATGCAAAAAGTAAAATGAATTGAGAATTATTAGCGCTATGAGGTCAAGTCATTTTTTCTTTCAAAAACTGTCTGGGACTCCTTGTGCAAACTCGGGGATATGTAACTTCTGTTTAAATTGTGACTTCATTGATCGTTTTCAAAAAGTTCCTGGTTCTCTTTCAATTTTTGTATAGGGTGAGGTCTAAGTCATGGTGGCATTTTTATATTGTAAACAGAGCTTTATTGCGAATTATGTACATTTCCAACCTCAGACTTAACTCTTAAGAGCTGGGATAGTCCTTTATGATAGTGAATCATATGCAGTGTTAGTATGTTATTATTTTCATTCTATTATCAGGTAAGGGTGGTAGTGATGTAATTGGATAATAGAAGATTGGCCTTGCATCATCTTTTGGAAGACTATGCCATTGCTAATGAAACATGATCGCCTGAAATATAGTTGACTAAGCTTAAAAATTCCACTTAGTTTCACAACTTTTAGGATCTTGATACATTTCTAAGAAACCATGTGTTTTTAGCCAGTTGGGCAGTGATTCTGGTGAAGAAATTATTTTAAGTTTCGTGTTTTCCTATATGTTCTATAACACAACCTTTCCTCAACTGAGCTTATGTATGATATTTTCTCTTTGGCCCATTTCTGATATATAGTTTCAGGATTCTGTGACATTTTCTGTCTGTCATATTTGGGCTCAGGAGTTTTTGTTTTATTTATATGCAGCACTTCTGGGTGCCCTTTTGGTGAGGGATGTCATTTCTTGCATTATGTTCCTGGTGGCATCAAAGCGGTGTCTCAGATGACTGGTAGCAACCCAACTCATCCTCCTCCTCCTAGAAATTCAGCAGCCCCACCATCATTTCCAGATGGTTCATCTCCTCCAACTGTCAAGACACGGTTGTGTAACAAGTACAACACAGTTGAAGGTTGCAAGTTCGGGGATAAATGCCATTTTGCACATGGTGACTGGGAGCTTGGTAGGCCCACTGCTCAATCCTATGAAGATCCTCGTACAGGGGGAGGATTTCCGGGCAGGATGGGAGGTCGGATGGAGCCTCCCCCGCCAGCACATGGAGCTGTAGCAAGTTTTGGGGCCACAGCCACAGCTAAGATCAGTGTTGACGCTTCACTTGCTGGAGCCATAATTGGGAAAAACGGTGTGCACTCAAAGCAAATTTGTCGTGTGACTGGAGCGAAGCTTTCTATAAGAGAGCATGAAACAGATCATAAGCTGAGGAACATTGAGCTTGAGGGAACCTTGGACCAGATTAAAGACGCAAGTGCCATGGTTCGTGAGCTTATTGGGAACGTGAGTTCAGGTGCTGGAGCTCACAACATGAGGAACCCTGCTATATCAGCCTCATCTGCGGCAAGCAACTTCAAGACTAAGCTTTGTGAGAACTTTACTAAAGGTACATGCACCTTTGGGGATAGGTGCCACTTTGCACATGGACAAGAAGAGTTGCGCAGGTCGGGGATGTGATTTCTTTCAATACCTCTTTCGTGTTCTCTTACCGTTCTGTTGTAGGATACACTTATTACAGCATTAATTTTGTGTTTGTTAAATTTTTCCAAGAATGCAGCTTCCTTAGTTTTCTAGGGTTTAATATTCGGAAAATTTAGTAGTTTTTCCACCCGTCTTTCGGAGTCAAGTTGAGATCTCTTGGTTGAACTAATCTAGTGAATAGTGATAAGAACAGGCCGCCAGTTAGCATCTGCAGTGGCAAATGCTAATCCTGGCTGCTTGAATGTGTTCATTTTGTTTTTATCAGATTAAAGGAAAATGAGATGTTGATTTTGTGCTCACATCTGTTTAGGGTTTTTATTTCAAGTTTTTTTAAGAATATTGTTACACCTGCAAAATAACTCGCTAAATTCACAAGAAATTTTTTTCCTGCACGTTTCAAACTGTAATTTGTATTCCGAAAAATGTAGAAAACGTAAGCAGCCGAATATTTTCCTTGGTTGAATCTAGAAAAGATGGTGATAAGATTGGGGCAAAAGGCCCTGTACATGTCGACTAATTCTTTTAAGGCCCAATAAAAGTGAAGTAGGATTCTCTTACTCTTTTTTTTGTCTTATTCTCTATATAAAAAATTCAAAATAAGATGTAAATATGGTGTAATCGTAACCATTTAAATAAGGGAGGATGAAAGGGGAGAGAATCCTAAAGTTATCATGTTGGGTGGTGTATTCATGTCAACTAGAAATTAGGAGGTTTTAGGGTTTTTTTTTTTTTTTCCTTTGAATCACGAGTTCAATACTAATTTATAAGGAAAATATTATTGGCACTCTAAAAATCTCATTCTACACTCCTCACAAGTGTATTTTTCTTTCATAATATAGAAAGTTTGGAGTGTAGGATGAGATTTTTGCTATGCTAATAACAATTCTCATTTATAAATGACTTATTTGGCAGTTTGACTAAAATTGCTAATCCCCACTATCATTGTACAAATAAATATAAAACAAAGGAATCAAAGAATTTGAATAACGCAAGGGAGCTCGATTGGTATTCTAAGAGTTTGTTTAGATGTACTTTTGAAATGACTAAAAGCGCTTTTGGTGAAAATGGTTTTAGAACCAATCATTAGTAAAAATGCAAGTAAATCCTGAAAAAGCACTTAAAATTCTTCCTGGAAAAAGCACATAACTGGTGCTTCTTGCTGAAAATACTTTTAAGTGTTTTTGAAACCCAAAAATATTTTCTCTAAAAACGATTTCAGTTATTTTAAAAACATATACAAACGAGCCATAAAAAAGTCATTGTGCACTCTTGTAGCAAAGTCATTAAGGGTGGATTGAGTGCATGATGACTTTATTTCGCTAATAACAAATCCCTAAAGTGGATCACATTATTAGTATTGCTTTTGGAGAAGAATTACTAGTATTTGGAGTGAATAAAAGAAGATTGCAAATATGCAAATGTAAATGTGAGATAAGTCAGTTGATCAAAGCCGCAATGTTTCTTCTACCTTGTTTCCAAGTTCAAAATCTCTTTTTTTTTGAAAGACGAGTGCACTCAACAGGTGACTCAGCCCTTTTTCGTTTTCTTCTTTTAGTCAATTGATTCAGCTCATGTCACTTCTTTTTAATTAGAGATTCCTAGCTTATCGGGTGAAAGTTCAAATTGATGAGATCAAATCTTCTACACTAAAAAAGAGTTGTGGCCCAGTGACCTTCCTAAACACTTGTCCACTCAATTACTAACCGTAATTCCCCTGTTAACTTCTATGTACTCACGGATTCCCCTTCTTATTTGGCTTCTGAGATTTTCAAACTCTCACCCAGCCTCCATGTCCAAGCACTGAACCATAAAATCAAATATCCAAATGCTAGAAATGGACGACGTCACTTCGAAACCTCCACAAATCTCCGAAAGATTTCAGAAATTTTCTCTGGCTTTCAAAACCAAAACTTTCGAGTTCTTCGCCGAGGAGGACGCCGACGACGCCGACAGCTTCGCGCTGCTGGATTCTGCCGAAGAGGTCATCATGGACCTGAAAGTCGTCGTCATCAAATCTGACACGGCTGTGGCGAACAAAAACCCTCCCGAAAAGCCGAACTTGAGGGGAAAAAACTTAAATGTAAATTATGTAATTAATCAGCAAATTAGTATCACATATAAGAGACAAAACCTTAAATCCAAAATAATTAACCACAACTTAAAAATCCATTATCCATGGGTAAATTTATTAATCTCATCCCATATTATTAAACCCAAATTATTAAAGCTTAAACTGTCTCATCAAGCTCATCCATTATTCTAAACCCCAAACCCAAATTCTTGAGGCTTATTTGTGTTGCTTGCCAACAAGGCTTTCACCTCAGATGCTCTCTTTCCTTCCCTTTCCATCTCCTCTTTCATCTTCATCTTGCGGTAACGGATACCACAGCGGTTGCAGAGCGACTGCAATAAAAAATTTCCACTTATATATCTGTTAAGTTCCACATCAAGAAAAATTATGCATGCATGCATGCACGCATATAAAAAATATAACGTTAATTTTTCTTGTCATAAACCTGTCGGGCACGAAGTGCTAAATGGTGCTCATATGATCAATAGAGCAACGCCAACAAAGGAAACATGTTGTGATTGGCTCATATTTTGAGCTAGCAACAATAAGGTAACCCGTGAGTGGCTTTGGGGCTTGATTAAAAGGCAAAGCAAGGAGCATGTTTTGTGGAAGAAAATCATGATTGTGTTTGTAGTCATCATTTAAAGTTGCTACAAAGGACAAAGCAAGAGTAGGCTTGCTTTTGGACTTTGGAAACATGACCTCGTAAACTTTGGTTTTCTTTATGCAAGTGTGCTTGCTTTCTTTGTAATTTAATGTAAAGAAAGAAAGGGGTTGCATGTTAAGTAGGGATTGCCGAGTGAGAGGGGAAGAGAATTTGTGGGAACATCCGAGGAGAACACAAGTGGTAGAAAAATATAGAGTGAGAGTGAGAAACTCTTGGGGAGAGTGAGTCTCTTAGTAAAATTCTGTGAGGGTACAAGGGATTGGGGTTTGGGTTATGTCGATTTAACTCAAGTGTATCTTGTACTAGTTATTCTCATAGTGAAGAGCAATATCTCTCGGAGGACGTAGGCAGGTTTTTGCCGAACCTCGTAATCTCTTGGTGTCTTTATTTCTTGTATTTTATTCTGTTCAACTGAGTGTGATTTTGGTGAGGTTGTAATCTGAATCTCATTTCCGCACTGACAAAAGGCCCAGGCACAACAAAACAGACAACCATTTACTGTGTGCAATTAGAGGTGGCAAATTAACCTAGTGAAATATTAATGGTACCCGTTTAGTTTGACATCACCATAATATAGAAGTGAGAATGATAGTGGTGATGATGGTGTAAGGTGAAATCAAATTAAATAGGTCATAATGAGTACCATTAATTAACAACTCAATGGATAAATTTGCCATCTTTAGATCCAAAAGACACAACCCAATGCCTAATTGTTATAGTAAATCTGTGGTGTCTTTTCTTCATATAGAGTTGTTTCTCTTAGTCGACATGCCGATAATGATATGCGTATTATATGGTATTTAAGAGTTGAATTATGAAATAGATTAATGATTCAAAAATGCTACTCTTATAATTTAATTGTATCATCATTTATATCATTTCTCTAATAAAAATAGAACCCACATGCGTTTGCAGGTCCTATCTCTTAAGGCCTAGAGAACCTTTACGCCAGTCTAATAATTTTGAAAAAAAAAATAAAAACAAAACTTGATAGAGTGGTGTGAACATACTTTAGGGCCCAGAGGACCTTTGCGCCACATTGGCGAGTTGGTCACGCGGCAGTTAAAATTACTGCATATTAGGTTTTCATCCAGCTTGATAGTGCGGACTTTCGTCAGGTTCCTTTTGCGGGAGCCGCCGGTTCTCGATGTTTTGTTGGTTACGTCGATGTCGCAGTAGTCATCGGGTTTTGGTGGCTTTGGGACATTGTATGCCCTTGAAGTAGTACCGACAGCAGGGTTGGTATAGTTAAACTTGAACTGGTTACTGGCCTGTCAAACAACAAATAAGATGGAGCAACGTTAGTATTAATTGACCATGCATGCATGCTTGAACCCACGTAAATATATGAGCACTCGAAATAACAGAAAGAAAAAGAGGGGACAGTCGAAAATTTTGGTGGTATTTATCACACTGTTACAATTATATATATGCACACATGCAAACATACGTATATACATATATATAAACTAAAAAGCAGCAACCTAAAAGAAAAATGGATGAAGTCTCTCCCCGGTGAGAGTTTTTCTGAGCTAGTCTCAGCCGTCTTCTCTATCTCTTCTTTCTTTCGATCCGTCCTCTCGCAGCCCTAGTCCTCCCCAGTTTCTTTCTATCCTCCCCATGCCATTTATCCCCAGAATCAGCCCTGTTTCACCAGCCCAAATTAACTCTAATAGGATTCTCCAAATCTATAGCCTTCAAGTGCTCTATACTATGTACAGATCCTTTCTATCTATTTCCAGTTCGGATCAGTCATTCAATCATCAATCTAGGGAGCAACCACAACCTATCAAGCATTTACTTACCATATCCTTCTATCCCACAAGAGATTTAATTGCTAGAGATATTGCCCTCGAATCCTGTATATGTTACTCTACCAGCGAGCACTCGTCAAAGCTATATAACCATCCAATCCTAGAACAAATATGTTTATTTCTAACCCAATACTTCAACCCATCCCCATTCTGGCAACCTCATCACACCCTTTGGTTCTGGACATCTATCTCAGCTTCGATTATGGACATCGATACCATAGATCCAAATAATATCCTTCTTAACCTCCAAAATAATCTCGATCTTGTTGATGCTAATGGAGGTGTTTGTATGGTAGCCTTCCTTTTTGCAGATAAGCCACCGAATCGTGGAGCCTCTGTTGGTCTCCTAAAGAAGGCTTGGACACATCTGGGTGATGTCCGAGTTTCAACAAAATCAGATACTGCTTTTGCAATTACCGCTCCGGACCAAATTACCGCTTCCAAGATAGTAGAATGGGGCCTATGGAATGTCGCGGGTTTCTGCTGTACTGCCCAACTATGGCCGAAGGATCAAGCTTTTGAAGAGATCCCATCACATCGAGTAGTGTACTGGGTCCAGCTTCATGGTGTACCTCTGGGACAATACTCTGTGGAAAATGCAAAATCCATTGGGGAGGCTTATGGAGAGGTGCTACAGGTGGAAGATCCATTTAGATGCCCCGATGGTGTTTGGGGATTCCTTCACATCCGTCTGCAACTAGACGCCAGGAAGCCCATCCCTTCAGGATGTTGGCTGGCTAGAGAATAAG